ACTGCTACTGCTACTGCTACTGCTACTACTTCTACTACTGCTACTACTGCTACTACTGCTACTACTGCTACTACTGCTACTGCTACTGCTACTGCTACTGCTACCACCACCATTCGCCTCCTTCCACGGGGAGGAGTTGGAAAGCGGCGTCCACGGAGGCTCCGGCGTTCCTGGCGGAGGCCGTGGTGTGAACGCGCAGGATCGCGGAGACCACACCTATTGACAGCGGGGCAGGACTCATCGAATTTCAATTTCTGCTTGGCCTGGACTCCAGTGATTTGGTGCTTGTATCGCTACGCACCGACAAGTCCTGAATCGGCAGTGGAGCTCTCAACCTGAAGCCAGAACACTGCATCAACAATGTACTTACTATGATGCAATGTAGCACAATGTAGAATAACATAGTATACTATGTTGCAACAAAATAGTACACTATAATATAGCATTAGGTGAATCTCGCTTGGGCGTGGCCTAGACTTGCTACGCATTGCACCCGGAGCGTCTGCAATGACAGGTAGTGGTGCAATGTGGCGGATTGATTGCATGCAATCAGCTCTCCTTTGCCCTCAAACTGTAAGACTTGGAATTGTGACAGGGCCCCCTCACCAACAGCGCACCTCCAGCTGCATGGGCGCTACCTCCTTGATGCCTGCAAGCATTCGACACCATAACGTGCTGCTCAAATGGTGGACCTTCGTCATGGTACACCCTCATGAGGGCTACCTGCCATGCGACCGCCGTTATAAACTTCCTGTCCTACACTATACGACTATACGAACGTACAAAGAAACCAAGGGCCTGTGCTCGCCACACCGGCAATCCGCGGAGCTGGCAAACGCGCCATTGGGACCTGGAGAAGCTCTTGCTGACATGCGATGCCGTTGATGCTGGGCGAACGTGCATTGGAAACTTCCATGTGCAGTTGAAATCCCACAGAATACTAATACATCCCAACGCCTTGACCTGAGCTCTAGGCATAGGCAGCAGGCATTTGCCAAGCCAGGTCAGTGCTAGATTGACCTTTGGAACTGTTGCAATCCTTATAGGAGAACGACTGCATAGTGGCACCGGTCAGCTACACATTAAGCGGTCGATCAGAGTGTGATTGCTTGCATCGTTGAAACCCGGAGACAATCGGAGATGTGTGACAACAATCACCTGCGCCATCTCCGACCAGACCGAGGGTCGCTTTGTGTTCAACATGTGCTGCAGCTATCCGTTGCAAGGACGACCCAGACATGTTCACCTGGCAATTTTGACTCGAGCTTGCGCACATGCAGAAGCTGCTCTGGTGAAGCAGTCGTCGACGCAGCGGTACACCAGAACAGCAGCAGCAGCACCACCACCACCACCACTAGCAGCCAGCAGTACAGAAGCAAGAGAAGGAGCAGGAGCAGGACGCAGAGCAGTGGCAGCAGCAGCAGCAGCAGCGGCAGTTGCAATTGCAGTGGTTCTTGTTGTTGTTGTTGTTGTTGTTGCTGCTGCTGTTGCTGTTCTTGCAGTTGTAGCTGTACTTGTATGTTGATAGTAGTAGTCACAGCGTGAGGGTTTGGTATCGATGATACGCTATATGCTCACCTCACCGAGCGTCTTGTAAT